CCCCCCCACCTACAATCCCTGCCAGTACGAGACTCGAACCCGCAACCTTTGGGTTATGAGTCCGATTCTCTAACCATTAGGCCACGGCTTCCCCCTGTATGAAAGCACAATGAATCCGTGCTGCTTCTGCACCACAGACATAACGCACATGAACTGCATACGCACAGCAGACGGAGTATGTGTGAAACAGGCATGAGCGTCACAGCAGATCCAAAGCAAATGTCAGGTATGAGGCCCCAACACAATAACTAAGCATGCTCTTTTACGTCTAACCCTTATTTTGCACTCTCTCTCGCTCTCTCTCTCATAGTTTATAGTTTATTTACCTCTTCACAACTCTCCAGAACACAAATACAAACTGGAGGCGTTTGCCAAATATTTTTCGCCAATATCAGATGGGGTCCCCTGATGCCCCAGGGCCCTAAGTGTCATTCGGACACAAGCTTCAGATGAAGAAGAGGATGATGTGTTCTCCCGGCATCTATTTATACTATAGTCGCACCGGTAGTGACATCATGGCTGTCGCCGGCCACGTGTTGTTGGTGTTTTTTCAATGTATGCTTCAGACACGTTTCATGACGAGGCGTTCCCCCCATAGCGACCCCTAGAGGACGCAGTGTCTCGTTCCCTACTCAGGGAACCATGGTTACATACGTAACCTGAGACGTTTTCCTCTAACAAAGACCAGTGCTCTAACAACAGCAATCACTATTACACATCACTATATTAGCACTCTTACATATTATCACAGCATTAAAATCCATGTAAAGGCAATTCAGAGAATTGTTTCTAAACACATTATAAATGTCAGAAATGTATTGCTGAAAACACTTTGCAAAGACTGTGAACGATGTAGTACTGAATTGTGGAGTTAGAAAGTTTGTGTTGAGGATTTTGTGGGCGGGGCTGAAATCATGTCTCGATGATGCACTGGAGCCACTGAGCACGGCCCCTCCCCTAACACTATAATAACTAGAGAGCATTAGCATCAGTGATTCACCGCTCAATCGCCAGTTACTGTCATTACCGTTAGTTACTACAGCCTACAGTTTGCGAGCTAGCTATGCCTTCGTCACGTAAATACATATTACCTGGTTGCAATAATTTACAAAACAGCTCGGTCTCCTTAATTGCCTCTTCTACAATTACCCCATCAACTTCGGTCAGAAATCTTGGTGTAATATTTGATGACCAGCTGACCTTCAAAGACCACATTGCAAAAACGGCTCGATCTTGCAGGTTTGCATTGCACAACATCAGAAAGATCAGGCCCTTTCTAACAGAGCATGCTGCACAACTTCTTGTCCAGGCCCTTGTCATTTCTAGGCTGGACTACTGCAATGCTCTTCTGGCTGGACTTCCATCAAGCACAATCAAACCTCTACAAATGATTCAGAATGCAGCGGCACGACTGGTCTTCAACGAGCCCAAAAGAGCCCACGTTACACCTCTCTTTATCTCCTTGCACTGGCTACCGGTTGCGGCTCGAATCAAGTTCAAGACATAAAGACCAGTGCTCTAACAACAGCAATCACTATTACACATCACTATATTAGCACTCTTACATATTATCACAGCATTAAAGTCCATGTAAAGGCAATTCAGAGAATTGTTTCTAAACACATTATAAATGTCAGAAATGTATTGCTGAAAACACTTTGCAAAGACTGTGAACGATGTAGTACTGAATTGTGGAGTTAGAAAGTTTGTGTTGAGGATTTTGTGGGCGGGGCTGAAATCATGTCTCGATGATGCACTGGAGCCACTGAGCACGGCCCTTCCCCTAACACGATAATAACTAGAGAGCATTAGCATCAGTGATTCGCAGTCAGAAATCTTGGTGTAATTTTTGATGACCAGCTGACCTTCAAAGACCACATTGCAAAGACTGCTCGATCTTGCAGGTTTGTTTGCTTGCACAACATCAGAAAGATCAGGCCCTTTCTAACGGAGCATGCTGCACAACTTCTTGTCCAGGCCCTTGTCATTTCTAGGCTGGACTACTGCAATGCTCTTCTGGCTGGACTTCCATCAAGCACAATCAAACCTCTACAAATGATTCAGAATGCAGCGGCACGACTGGTCTTCAACGAGCCCAAAAGAGCCCATGTTACACCTCTCTTTATCTCCTTGCACTGGCTACCGG